TGTATAAATGTTCACAAGTTCAATGCTGAACACAATAATATGGCCAGCATAATAAAATATCTGAAGCAATATAATGAACCTTGAAAATCTTAAATATATAAATGTTCACAAGTTCAATGCTGAAAACAATAATATGGTCAACATAATAAAATAACTGAAGGAATATAATGAACCTTGAAAATCTGATGTTTATATATTTATGTGCATAAGATCAATGCTGAACACAATAATGTGGCCAAAATAATTCACTGACTGAAGGGATATACCCATAATAACAAATTAGATTAATAAAATATGTAAACACTAATAAGTCACATTAAAGGCAGGTCGCATGATATCATGCTTTTCACTTTTAAACGTGGCAGACCGGTCACATGATATCATGATTTTAGGACACGTTATGTTGCAACACACTATACCTTGCTCTGGCGCCACACAGATGCATAACTGGTGCATAATAGACCTCCCGAATGTTTGATTAGTAGTCAGTAACATGACCTCACTGTCTTCCTATCCCACTCCAAAGGAAAATGCCTTTGTTCGTCTTCAAGCTGTCTGTACCAGGCAATATGTTAGTAGTGCAATATGGATCAAGGATGAAAGCGATTGAAGACAAAGCAATCTCTCAGAGAACAAGAAATATCTTACTTATTCTCCGATGAGCTATCTGATGTGCCTTGTGAGACGTGTAGGGATAGTGACTCAGACAGTGGCAGTGACAGGTGACAACAAAGAATAGTGGCCAGGGACAGTAAAAGTGACAGTAGCTCTGACGAAAATGCGGGTAGTAACATTGCGGGGACAGCCACATGGGGAAAAGTAGACAAAACGCCTGCTTTGGTACAATATACTGGAAATCCGGGGGTGAAACAAATTCCATCGGACCCAACGCAAGTGTCTGAAGTAGCAGAACTGTTTTTTGGAGATAGTTTCTTTGACATGTTATGTCAGGAAACTAACAGATACTATCTCTGGCACCGTGAAGAGTATGACAGAAGTTATAAGGTGTTGAAGTGGGTGGATGTCACTTCAGCAGAAATGAAAAAAGTTTCTCTCTTACTGTTTATGATTAAAAACAGAACAAATTAAATCTAACTCTGTGATTCATAGCATTAATACAAGACACAATAACAAATTCCTTTATCCAGTATGTAATTTAACAATATTTAAAAAAGGGACATACTATTTTGGAATCAGGGTTTTTAATAATCTTCCATCTAGCATAAAAAATTAGCTCATAGCATGAAACAATTTAGATTTGCTTAAAAAGATTTCTACTCTTAAATTCATTTCACTAATTGGAGGAATATTCTAACTTCAATATTAATTAATGATCTTGGTCTATTATGTGCTGGATGCCTAGTAGGAATCCATTTTTCCATTACTGAACTGGAATATGAATGGATACCAGATTTTCAGTAATCATATTTCTTTAAGATATGTTATTATCTTTGCCATATAATCATTTCCATTACTGAACTGGAATATGAATAGATACCAGATTTTCAGTATTCATGATATATTTTTGTAAGATATTATTTTTGCCATATAATCATTTCCATTACTAAACTGGAATACGTATAGATACCAGATTTTCAGAATCCATTATATTTTTCTAAGGTATGTTATTATTTTTGCCATATAATCTTTCTCTTACTGAACTGGAATATGAATAGATAGGAGATTTTCAGTGATCATTTTTTCTAAGATGTGTTATTATTTTTGCCATATAATCCTTTACATTACTGAACTGGAATATGAAAAGATTCCAAATTTTCAGTATTCATTATATATCTATAAGATATGTTATTATTTTCGCCATATTATTCTACCCAGTACCTAACTGGTGATGATGAACCCAAATGGAGGTGATATGTTAGCATACCTTCTTACCGTTTGTGCTCTCGTCTCTGGGATCTCTGGCGGCCGTCTATTCCATTTAGTTATTAACAATGCCTAGAGATGGCAGGAGTATTGCACCGTGGTGTCATGGCGGCCATGTTACCAATAAGAAGAGAGTTTCACGGGTTCACGGGCATTCGGATGCTTTCGGATGGGTGTTGGTGCTTGTTCCTGTGTTTTGTATGTAATTGTGTTAAGGTCGTGATCGTGGTATTAGAATGTCTACCTGCAGGGTACACAATGTGAGATTTTACGACTTAGAACCAAGAGCAATACATTGTATGGCATATGAATCTACTCGAAAGCAACTAGCCTTATCCAGGTGTGTAATGGCCCTAACCTTTAATTGCGCTAGAATTACCCCCAGCCTTTATCAAAGTGATCGAAAATGAAACAACAATATCAAAATGTATAAAATCATAAAGGTTGTAATATTAGTTCAATACAGTACCGGTTACCAGAAATGAATGTTGTCATTATCGAATTGGACAGCATCACAAAAATTCTTCCCTATGGAACTGTATAGTTAATGGAGGAATGAAATAGTTGGCTTATCAAGCTATAAGAGTACCTTCTCAGGTCTGTCCGGTTTCTTCATACTCCTCGGATCGCTGGTGATTTATAGGTAGTGAAGTATGCGAAAGATGCCCCACACATTTTCACGTTCTGTGTGTTTTCTAAATGGGTTAATATTTTGTGAATTTTGTAGAATATGTGGTGGAACGAAAATTGGTAGGCCGAGTGCTTCATTGTCTGCCATAGGTCCCACTTCACTGGACCCGGGATCAAACCTGGGCCATTCAAGTGTAAAGCTTGCATGGCCAGTGTCAGTTATTGTGTTTTTGTTGAATACTAGTCAGTATAAATTAAACCTTAAATAATTAAGTTTTCAAAAGTCTTTCACATTGCCATTTTAAAACATAAAAAACCTGTGCATTCTCCCATAGCATATTTTTTTGTGTGTGTTTTATGTGAGTTTCAGAACATTTGGAGATTATTTCCTTATATAACATTAACCAGTTGGCCTTTGTAATGAAGATGAATTGTGTTTCAATGAGGTATTATATGAATTTTTAATCTTATTTAGATGAATTTCAGGCTTCAAGGCTCTTAACAAAAATTGCAGCCATGGAAGCCTCTGTGTATGATGTTTTGTTTGTGTCACCATTGACTGTGACAGATCTGATAGCTCAGTAGAAGTCTGGAATCTTGCCTGCACTCCTCACATTGAACGAACCATACCAGGGAGGGGAAACAGTTCGGTCGAAGCAGTAGCATGGTGTGGACAGCGCTTATTCAGTGCTGGCCTTCAGGGAACAGTTACAGAATACAACTTGCAGACACTCTCAAACAAGGTAATGGTACTTTTTTAAACAGTGGTTTAAGAGTTTTATGTCCTGAGATTTGAGGTTTCTGCAGCAGTGAAGATACATATTGTAGGATTCTTCCACATCAAATCATCACAGTTTACTGGCAAAACTATCATGACTGTCTCTGATTGTAATACAATTTAGCAAGTTTCTTGGGTTGTCTTAGGAAGTAGTATATATGGAATTTAAGATACTTGTATCTAATTTTTAATTCACTTAGTAGGGGGTGGAGTACAGCTGGGTCCACTTGGCATGGCGGCCACTGATTGGCCTGTTATACCTGCCCCAGGTGATTATGATGATGGAGAATTTGGTGGAATGAAGATTGGCAAGGGAAACTGAAGTACTCGGAGAAAACCCGCCCCAGCGCCACTTTGTCCACCACAAATCCCACTTGACCATACCTGGGATCGAACCCAGGCTGCCGCGATGGGAAGCCAACAACTAACTGCTTGAGCTATGACTTGGCCACTACTTATATGTATCAACTGCAGAGATATAACATTTTGAAATTTTAATTTTTCCCTGAATTTTCCCTTTTTCTGATTCATTAAAGTGAGTATAACTCTGGTTGTAATTAAGATAGAGGGCTCATTCTTGTGTTAATTTAAAAGCTCTTATGTGGGGCTTTTGTTTGGTAGGCCACTCACTGTATTTTAGGTCATATTAAGATTTTGACTTTGATCTTTGACCTTAGTGTAAGAAAAATATGTAGCCAAATATATATACAAGCTTTTCCCATAACACTTAGCAATCATTGCAGTACATATTTTGAAAGTGTCCTGATGGGACATGGAAGCAAAGAGAAGATATAATTTTATGCCCAATAGTGGTCTTATTAGGCACTGTGGCTCATGTTGACATCGGTAGGGATATGTTGCAGGGCGTCTTGACCCTTCCAGCCTGTCACTTTATAACTGGTTATTTGGTCAAGTGTTAAATTAATTTTTATTCTTGAGCCTCAACGTATCACAACCCTATGGGCCTTCATGACCTGTTAAGGGGATACCTTTTATCAAGTTTGAAATGACTGCAAATGCAACAAGTGTCAAAGAACTTGATGTTTTAAAACAGTCCTATAATCTTTTGAATGTCACATTGAAAGCTGCAAGAGAACTCAGAGACCTGTGTTGGAATGGATGATAAAATGGTTCCTAGTATTCAAAAAGGATTAAGAATCTGTGACAGATATAAGAAAACTACTGCAAATTTCCTGAAAGTATTGGCAACAACCAGGTATTTCTTCAAGCTTATAGTATGGCATAAATGAAAAGGAAAACTTCAACAACTATAAAAGTCAGCAGACCCTTTTTTTTCTCAGGAACAGTCATCCCTGATAATTGACTTAGGAGCAAGAATTCTTAAGGACTAACATGAGAAAATGACACTTTGAATAAGGATGCATGTGATATAATTACAAATTGGTTATATGGGCGATTTACAGGGACCAAAAAGGAAGAAGATAATATCATGAGAACAGTGGATAATGGATTCATTGTAGTACGCTTGCAAGATGAGAGTATCAGGTGTAAGATATTGGGGGACATGTTAACTTGCGTTTGTGTCGGACAGCAGTGGCTTGCATATGTTACAACTGAAATTCATATAACATTTGCTTGATATCGAAGAGGAATCTTGTGCAAATTAGACTTCATAGATTGAAAATGTCTGCTGCTAATAATATAATTTCTTACTTAAATGAAGAACTAATTTTAATGTTTTAATGAATGCGAGTAAGCCTGCCTGGTTTTGTTTTTACTTTTGCATTAATGTTGTAGTTCCTGTGTAATTTGCTGTAATCTTTAATCCAAGTGAGCAGCAGCTGTGTGCATGTAGCCAGTAGCTGTAAACATGTATGTATCTCATCAGTGCATTCATATCGCATCATGAAGCTTTTCAAAAGTGTACTTAAGTGATTACAAAGTGTTTGGGGAGAAATTTGCATCAATCTGGTTGCATGTTATCCATGAGTTAAGGTCAGAGATCAAATGTCAAAGTCAAAATTTTGATGTGTCATGAAACATGACAAGCCAAATGAAAGCCATGCTTATGAATTGTTGATTGATACCAGAAAGAGCTATCATAATTGGGACAAAAGTTATAAAAATTTTAGTGAATGAGAGTGCCGGAAAAGTTAAGGAAAACTGCATTACTCAGATTCTGTGAGTGGGTTGTATCAGCTGGTGTGTTGATTTGACATGTAATTTCTCTGCAANTGTTGGGATAGTATCTCAAATTATGCCTTGACTGTTTCCTTCTCCACCCTTACCACTTCATCCTTTACTAATCATCTTGTTAGTGCTCTATAAAGTGAGCTGTTGAAAGCATCATTAAATAAACCATAAGTAAGTAGAAACCATGTAGTCTGGTAATACGTTTTGGATGAATGTACAGCATCTGTCTTCATGGTAGAAGTCTTATGCCCTTCAGAACACATATTGTTAGATGAAATGCAAGAGGAATAGGTATAATGTGTTGAAGGTCTTGTGCTTTCTAAAGTGGTGATTGGATTGGTGATATCCTGTTGCATCTTCTGTTTTGGGGGGAAACATTGAATGGTAATTGAATATTGTAGATTGGCCTATTGTGTGAATATATTTGAGGTATTGTAAGAGATGGTATGTGAATTGTGCACCACACTATGAAGACCTATGGGTTAGTGGAGGTAGAGGTTCACACATTCTTAACTTCACCACTAGATGTTGGTAAGTTGTCAGTCCCATGGTCTAGCTGCTTTACCCCTGAGGAATGACTTCCAGTACCCACTGGATAGGAGGCTGGTCAGGCCCCAGAGCTGGTCTACATCCTATGCAAAATGTCCTCTGTGTCTACTGGGAATTGGTTCTTTGGTCCTCCAGCCTGTATCGCGGTTTTCTATGTTGACTGAAGTATGCTAGCTTCGAAAATTCAAGCATCATATTGTGCAGAGTGTTCCATTTAAAATCATATGCAAGCAACATCATAGTGGAAACCCTTGCACATGTCTCTTGAAACTGATCAGGAGGCTTGATGCCTGTATTCCAAACAGTGGACACTTCCAGCATGTCCTGTTGAATGAATAAGTGGTAGGCCTAGACTAGCCCATGCACCATGACCTTCACTGATCTGTTGTGCATCCACCCCATATTTCACCCCTTCAACAATCCTACGCTTTGAATTAAGTGCACTATCTTACAGGGGTGCCATGATACTTGTCTGGCTTCATAAAGTAATGGCCCAGATGACAAAATCTTAAGTACATTGTGACCTCACAGTCACATAGGTTTTGTGTGGCTGGTTCACCTTTTGCTAAGCACCTTTCGCAAATCTGACTATTTGCCAATCCCATTTTTCAGCGGAGCATGTCCTGTTTTACTTTTTTATGTTTTATGTAGTCACATGTAAAACGGAATGTCTCCTGTTTGAGTACGGTTTGAAATTAATCAGTCAATAAGTGCTTCATTAGATGCCACACTGTGAACAGTATCATTGTGTTTGGATTGTAGCGAGGTGCTTGCACAAAATTATACATGCTGATAGTAGTGCAGTTTGATATTTTCACTGTTTTGATAATTTGAGCGAGTATTCTGAATATATATTGCAGTTTGATATCCCTGTGACAGCTGGCCCCTGTTGGTGTCTTGGAAGCAACCATAATAACACATGTCTTGCAGTAAGTATGGGTTGTGTATACACTGGTGTAATGCCAGCAGGAAAATCACTTAATTTGTTACTGTTTAGCTTAATTATAACATTAACTTTTAAATGCCAATGAAGAGATGAAACCATACAAACACATGGACTTGAGAATTTTGCGATATTTTGTCACCTCGATATGACTTCTTAATGCACACACAGGTCTAGTATGTTCTGGTAAATAATTTCTTGTATACCTGGTGTGGCAATAAAGAACCCGGATTACTTTTATGACTCATTTCCGGCCACGTCATTGACGAAGAGGAGGGTAGGGCATTGACCCTTGGACTTCCCTCTACCGTCACACAAAGTTTCATTCACGTGCATCGGTTAGTCTGGCCGCGACCATTGTTAGAAGCGGATCGTGTTTCTGAGCTCCGTCGGAATAATGCTGAGTGCTAATGCAGAACAACGTGCTAACATCAAATTCCTCACAAAACTNCTTCTTTTTCACCACCTTTCTTCCCTTCTTTTTTCTTTTCACACCTTTATCTGCTCTCTCCTATGTTCTTTCCCATCCATTTTATTTGGCCATTCTATCATCATTCTTCTCCCCCTTCTTTCCATCTTGTTTACAGTAAAGCAGTTTAGATAAATATCACCTAAAGGCTTTGTGAGGTGCTACTGTAGTGAATGATAGGTAATTTCATTATTTCGGTACAGTCAGTTTTAAGAAAAATCTGGGCAAAGAACAGGTGCTTTTGCATGTTGATGTAATAATTAATATGAAGAATTAGCTTTTGTATTAAAGAACTATTTTAAGTCAATTTGATTAAAATTATGTGTAAGTTACACTAATATCAACTCAGAAGCATATTGTTTTTTTTAAGTGAGCAATTTATTGGTTTAAGAAAACACTGTGTAAGATATTTGAACAGGATATAAGCAATTCACGGATTGTGAATTGGCCATGGAAGCCCTAAACCATGAACTCATTGTTTTGGAACATTGGCTCATGGGGAGGTCTCTGTGTCACACCCTTGCAGACTGAGATTGATAACCATGTGAAATCATTTCATCAGTTGATTAAGAAAGTTTCCAAGAAATGTCATGTGGGGTGCATATTGCCTGGAGCTCCTGTTAAGAATGTCAGGCTTTTTTTATTTGTGTTTCTGTTGATCCTACTCTAAATTTTGTAAAAAATTTTATTCCTTAAAAATTATTTTTTGAATGTACTTGTGTTTGTGTTGACCGTATATTAAATATTCTTGATTATGCTTTACTTACAGGCTGGTACTGAAGATGGATACATCAATATTTTCACAGTCACTGATGATGGATTAATATATGAGAAGGTTCTGGATAAACAGGAAGGTTAGTGTAGTGCTCTGTTTAGGGTTAGTCTGCTTTTGGTTTAAAATCTAAAACACTGAAACTCCTGTTTCCGTGACTGGCCATATCTCCCTTCCCATGCAGGACACAAAACAGGGCCCATTACACAAAGATAGTGTCACATATCCTGCTAACAGGACAAGTGATTAATGGGTTCTGGATTCATGAATCGATTTATTGGATATTCACCAGGCAGAACTACAATTAGTTGTAACACAATCTTACTGTAACTATGAACAATGATAACACCGTAGAGGTTACTGGTAACTACACCACATAAACTAAAGACTTCACTTCTGACTTCCTCTGACTTCTGTTTGTCTTCTGTTGGTCAGTTCTCTCCCTGAGATAGATTCTGGTCGAACTGTATGGAGATCACCTCCTTCAGCAGTAGAGTTACCGCATTCTTTGCTGTTTCTGTGCTTTGGAGGTTCATTGTCATTGATATCGGCTTTTAATCAGTTAAAGTTACACTGTGCATATCAGAACCCTAGTAACCGAAGCTGTTCTGTAGTTGACTGCGTAACCTAGGAAATGTGTTTACCGAGCCGTTGCTTAGCTATACATGTTACAATAGTCTTAAAATCACTGTCTTCTGGGCTGTGACACATCTGTTCTCACTGATATCTCAGAAGAATGCACTACCTCCATTTCAAGGGTGAGTTACATACATTGTTGCCGTATTTGTTATAAGTTCAGATGTTTCATAGTATCCAGAACGTTCTTTTTGTTTGTTTCTTTTTTGTTCTTTTTTTGACCTATCCATGGAGCTGAGTCCTCCTTGAGAAGCCACCAGTTTCACAGCCACTGTAGAAATTCATATCATTTTATGGAACCTGAATGTTCATTACCGTGTTTACAGGAACTTGATACTGGTATCTGCCCAGAGCCAGATGAATCCAGTCCACACCCTCATCATGTTTCATTAAGACATATTTTAATATTATCCTGTCTTCGTCTAGGTGTTCCTAGTGGTCTCTTTACATTTTCCTACCACAACTCTGTATATATTCCTCTCCCATGTGTGCTACATGCCCTGTCAGTCTCAATCCACTTGACTTGATCATTCCAAAAATATTTGACGGGAAGTCCAAATTATAATTTCCATCTTTTGCGGTTTTCTCTAACCTCTTATTATTCCTCATATTCCCTTCAGCATCGTGTTCCTAAACACTGTCAGCCAATGTTCTTCTCATACGTAGCACGTCCACAAAGTAAGTTTCCCACTTGTCCCACAGCTGGCAAACCCTATACTGTGTGAAGTGACTGCGCGTATATGATAGAGCAATGACGTAGCATGGCGAATACATTAACAGAATTTCCCGCATTCGCACAGTAGCATCGTTGCAGCTGTTGAAGATGGAGGCTCTTATTCCAGCTCCTGCCGACTGTGAAGTGCGGTCAGTGATAAAGTTTTTGAATGCACAGAGCATAGCACCGATCAAAATTCATCATCAACTGTGCCAGGTCTATGGGCCTAACATCATGAGCAAGCAGATGGTGCGTCACTGGTGTAGACAGTTTTCAGCAGGTCGACAAAGTGTGCATGATGAAAAGCGCAGTGGGCGGCCATCCATCATTACAGATGACCTGGTGGAGCTTGTGCGGGAACACATTATGGAGAATCATCGCATCACAATTACGGAACTCAGCAGTCATGTCCTGCAGATTTCTTGCTCCTTGTTGCACGAAATTGTCATGGAGCACCTGTTGTTCAGGAAATTGTGCGCCAGGTGGGTGCCGAAGCAACTGACACCAGAACACAAAACAAAGCGCATGGAGTCAGCAGTGACATTTCTGCAGTGGTACCATGATGACGGTGACGAGTTTCTGGAACAGATCATCACAGGTGATGAAACATGGATTGCACACATTACCCTGGAAACCAAGCAGCAGTCAATGCATTGGCATCACAGTGGATCTCCCTGTAAGACAAAATTCAAGCAGACGTCGGCGCAGAAAGTGATGAGCACGATATTCTGGGACAGACAGGGCGATCTCCACGTCGACTTCCTGACCAGAGGTGAGATGGTGAATGCTGAGCGTTACTGTGAAACACTGCAGAAATTGCGATGGACCATTCAGAACAAGCGGCGCGGGATGCTTAGTGCCAGTATTGTCTTCCTGCACGATAACGCTAGGCCGCACACGACTCGACGGACAGCAAGTCTCCTGCAGGAGTTCATCTGGAAGGTGTTTAATCATCCACCCTACAGCCCGGCCTTGCTCCCAATGATTTCCATCTTTTCCTACATCTCAAGAAATTCCTTTCCGGTGAGCATCAGCGTTTTGAGAATGACAGAGAGGCAGAGATGGTTGTCACACAGTGGTTCCAATCCCATGTGGCAGACTTCTACGACACAGGTATTCAAAAATTGGTCCCACAGTATGACAGATGTCTCAATTCTGGTGGCGATTATGTTGAAAAATAGCTGAACACTTGCTGTATCTGTTGCAATAAATATTTCCATGAAATTGTGTTTTATTTCTGCAAACGGCCCCAAGGAAATTTACTTTGTGGACGAGCCTCGTAGTATGAGATACGAGGTTTGAGATGCATACAGAACTACAGGAAAAATTGCAATTTTGTATATTGTAGTCTTTATGTTTTCGGATAGCAGGTGGAAATGCAAAAGATCTGAACTGAATGGTATTGTGCAGTCACCAAATTTAATTTGCTCTTAATATTTGAACTTCACCACATTTCGGCTTAGACCAGAAGCTGTCCTGGATTTGCTTGACCTTCCTAGTTATGCATTCTAAAGCAGTGATGATAGAGCATCTTTAGTTTCAGACCATTTTAAATATCAGTGGCAGGTCATGATCGTGTGAATGGATTGGACCATGACCGAATAAGATTTATCCTTCTTCAGTTCCCATATTTAAGGAAATGGTTGGTATGTTTGTGTTCTTATATAAATGTTTCTTAAAGAGTTAACTTATTGTGCACAATACCCTTTTGTTTTATCAACGTTAGGCACATTTTATGCAGAAATAACTTTTAACTAAAGGGTGTCCACTCTCTGTTACTTACAACTTAACCTCTTCTCATGATATGAATATATCTCTCCTGTGGGGTTGATATGTGTAGATGGCTTGACAGACTGATGCTAATAAATGTTCCAGCAGGGAGGCTGTGAACCTAAAATGCACTGTTTCTGTCATATACTGGTCCTCACTGGCTACATTCCACATATCTTTCCTTTAACCAATCGAATCAGCTAACCCAATTTGGACCTTTCTTCTGTCTGGATCCCCCTCATCAGCAGTGAGGATTCTAAATCACAAAGAAGATCTGTATGATATGACAGGTTCTTCATGGGTTTTCATAAGATTTTAGTCTCAAGTGTTCAAGTTTTACTCCACAGATGGCGCTAGTGGTAGTTACTACATGTCTTCACAAATTTTTTCATTTATTTTCATTGGTGCTTATGCACTTCGTTTTGTTGGCTAGGTTTGTAGCAAAAATTTCTACCTCCTTTTCTATTGTAGTTCCATGCATATGCATTCTCTATCACAATTTTTATTGCGTATTTTCTTGTTATCTCCTGCCGAATTATGCTGGTCTGAAGGGATTAAATAGCTGTGTGAATCTGACAGGTTGTCCAGTGATTGAAGTTAGCCCTTTCTAAGGAACCCAACGTAGTAGGTATCTCCCCCTCCCCACCCCATTTGTGTACGGAAACAGATCCAGTTCCTGAAACATCATTATGTTTTCTAGTTTCTAGAATACTGGATGATGAAAGAAGTCCAAAATCCCAGTAATTCTGAGAATCTTTAGGCTAGTTACTTATACACTGTACATTTCACCATATTGTCTCTATTTCTCTTATGACCACTTTCTACATGGGCACTGCAAACTTTGTCTCCAACCCTCTGTAGATGCTACAGTCTACAAATGACCATGTGTCGTAGGTTAGTGGCCCATGTAATTCTCATATGAACATGTAGATAAGCATGCTTTGTTGTAGTTCAGATTTGTGATCACACTAAACATGCTTTAATATGTATGGAATAGGTGGATATCTCTTAAAATGTAAACTTGAAAAAGCAGAGCCATTTTAATAGAATTAAATGCATCATGAAAGTTTGCTCATCTGAATATTGTCACGTGTATGGCTATGACTGTAGATGGGGTTTGGATTGGGGATTGGATTTACTGGCCACTTTATCACATGACTTGTGACTACACTTAATTACAGCACCAGCACTGGAGCACATGCTAAGTCTTTTCCAGCTTGCATTGTCTTCAATAGTAATTCCCTGATGACAGCTTCTAACAGTGGGGATATTCAACTGCACGAACTGGTCTTTTCTTCTTCTTGCTCCAGTTCATATAACATCTCTGCACGGACTGCTTAAAAACTATTGTTCGTTGTTATGCTATAATCGTTTCCATGGGAACCTGTTTGTTTGCGAAGGTGTTACTCAGTAACGGTTGCATGTACTTGCTTATTAAGAATCCATCGTCTAGCAGAGGATGTTGTTTTGTTGTTTATTTCCAAGTTGTTACCCAGTAACAGGTTTACATTATGTTTACATTATGTGTATTTCTAATGATGGCCTCCTCTCTGGTTTTCTGGTGCCCACATTTCTCAGTCGTTTTGTGATTGAATCCTGGTATTTTGGAATTATAGTCCTTATGCACTGTGAGAACAGCCAGTGCTGTCTTAATGCAACTGAGAGTGCTGAAGCACTATTTGCATTCATCATTGGGTACTGGGGTCACAAAGACAATTTATAGAACTTTTGTTTCTTAGAAAGAGTATCATTGTGTTCATTAGCAAGAAGTAGTTTTGTGAAAGCGCCAGCAGCAGAATATTGTTCATTAATACTTGTTGCGCATACCGCAGTTCCTGGCTTCTTGTTCAGTGTAATGTAAGTAGCTGTCATGATCTGAAACCTCTGGAAAAGTCTGCCTGCAACATTGAAACTGATTGGGATCTGTTACTGTGAATGCTGAAAGTGTGCTAGAATTTTCAGATCTTTCATTTGTTTGATGCATAATGATGTCACACGCTTCCTTTGCTTTTAAATCTGTTATTTTTGGAATGTTCCTTGGCTCTTTTTCTTGCTAGATGAGGCTTTGTGCTGTTTGCATTCCCATTAGATACCGGTTGTTGGCAGCAGTGTGTTTCCAAGTTGTTTGTTGATGATTTTAACTTCTCCAAGTCTCTTGCAGTAATAATACCTGTTGAATTCCTGCACATTTCATTAATATATATTTGGCATATGCAGTCTAATGGTATGTGATTCTTGCTTTTTTTGTGGCCACTGTATTATTGTACATGTGATCTTCTAAAATGCTCTTCAGTTCAGCTGTGTGAGAAAGCAAATCTGAGAAGATTCTTCGATTGAGGGATTAATCTATCTCTGTCCTTGCAACACTAACCCATGAACACCATAGAATTTTATAGTCTCTGCTTTTGTGTAGAACACATGTGGGTTTTCATCCACTAGGTCATTGTGTCTCGTGACAGTAACGTTGCAGCCCTTGTCAAGTTAATGCTGGATGTTAGCTGTGCCAAGTATATAAAGTTTTACAGCAGTGTGAATGTGTGCTGAGGAGTATTAATATTTTTTCACGCTTTAATCTTTTAAATCTGTGCAGCTATCCCTGGTCCATACTGATTACCACCAGAAGGAAAACAATAGGAATGAAATGAAGGCTTTCCTGTTTGCACACAGTTAACCATGCAGTTTTTTCAAACCACGATGTATTAAGAGTACTGTCTTCTGGGTTGTAATGCTGTCTAGTCCGTTGAAAGTCAGCTGATGTTTAGGAGGAACATATTGCCTTCATCTTTCAGGGCCGAAGAATAAGCCCAGCAAGGAACTGGTGTTGATTGACATTTGATGTCCTGCACAGCATTATATCCTAGAGTACAGTACTGTTTGTCATGCTGATGTGAGAACCTGAGATCTACAGTCTGTATTGTTCTTCATATCTTGCCTTTGTGTTGAGTTATCTGCATATCTTTCAGTACAAAAGCACCTAGAATTTTAATGTATGTTTTTCCTTCTGTTGTCTGCCATGAAAACGGGGTTTCTAATAAACTGTCTGATCAGTAGTTGATCTCTTGTTTTGAAACACATACCAATGATCCCAAGTTATTTTGTCTGCATATGGTGTTAACCTTCATAGAAGGATATTGGATAAAGTTTTGTCTGAAATTGATAGCAGTTATATGCCTCAGTAATTAATACGGTCAGTTTTATTGGCCATCTTCTAAATCTATCTCTTCTATTTAAAAATATTTTGCATAACACAACTGCAGGAACATGATCTACCTCACATAAAAGCTTAATATGTGATAAAGTTACTGTAATTTGGTAGGACCTTTCTCAGTCAACTTGTCCCTTGGTCTCAGACAAATTTCATGCGTCTGTTTATAACTGCGACTTAATTTTTATATCAAACTACACATTACAAGGCACACTATACAAAGACTTTAATTTATTCCATGCACAGAAAAAGTCTACAGAAACATTGTTAAGGTATTTTTTAGACCTTGACCTGTGTTTGGCATTGTGTGAAATGTTGCGGGTGCTGCCTCCTAGTGAATACTGTCCTCTGCTTTCTGTGTCTATCCCAACTGCCTGAGGTTTTGTACTTGTCAGGTGTTGAAATAATTTGTATCGTTTTGTAGGTCGAATCTTGTGTCTGGCGTGGGATGCAACAGGCGATGTGATTGTGACAGGCTCAGCTGATGCTGTACGCATCTGGAACGTAGAGTCAGGGCATGCAGTACATCGTATGACACCTGGTCGGGATGAGAGAAAGAAGGAGACCATTGTGTGGTGTCTTGCAGTTACCAAGGATTTCACCATTATTAGTGGTGATTCCAGGTAACTAGAGGGGAGCCAGGTAGCTTGGTTAGTTTACTGACAGGGGTATGGGCTGGACAGCTAGAGCATCGAGATTTGATTCCTGGCAGTGGCAGAGATGTTTTCACTTCACTGCATCCAGAACAGCTCACCCAACCTTCAATCCCGTGGGCACTGGGGCCTTTTTCCTAGATGAGTAGAGTGTGCCATCACTTATTTCTGTCTAGTACTGAAGGTTAAGAAGGACTGGAGTTATACCTCCATAAGAATTACAAGGCTCACAGTGGGCGATAGTGCCAGTTCTGTACCTCCCACAATGATAAAATGTGTGATAGAAACTGTGCTGTGTTGCTTATACTTAGCAGTTGTCAGTGTGTTAATTAATGTGTAGCTTGAACCTAACTCCATAACTCATGATCAGCATGCATTTTACTTTTGGAAATAGCCTCTATGTCCACTGTCAGTCCAGTGTCTGATATGTCAGCACTAATCAGTACACTCAACTCTCGATTATCCGGGGGCGGATAAACCGGTTTGTGGCTTAACCGGGGCTTTTTTTTTAGGCTTATATGTTGTTTAATATTCATTCACTTTTGAAGAATGCAGTCTTCTGGGATTTGGCACCGTGTATATGTGGTGTTAACCGACGTTTCGGAGGAACGTATCGCCCCCATCTTCAGGGTTGAAGAAAAAGTATAAGTAAATCTGCAAGCGACAACACCGTGAGACACGATAAAACAGACTAAAGAGTATACCGTTAGAGCAGAGAGGGAAGGGGATGAACTGCAAGTNGTTTATTAAGTGACAAGCTAATATTACATAGGCTTCGTACGGATATCCGTAAAAAGGCAAATGCCGCGAACAAGCAAACAAAAATATTAAATTTTTTTTAAGTGTTAAGTATGAATATTCGTAAAAAGTGTTGGATGTTGTTGAACACTATGATTGAAATAACTAATTCATACTTCAGTGTAATGTAAAAAAAGTATTAAATAGGCCATGAGATGACATAAAAACGAGGTTGAATAAATTTAAATACAGGTAGGCCTATAGTACATATTATGAAAGTACAGTATTACAGTACTACTTTTAATAAAATTTGTCTTAACCGGGTTTCCGATTAATCGCGATTTCCATCCCCACCATTATCCCGGATAATCGAGAGTTGAGTGTAGTTCAAAAGTGTCATTTCCTACAGTATTGTGTGATTGCCTTGCTACATTTTGCGAATTTGTTTCAGAGGTTGTATGAGTTTCTGGGATGGCAATGTGGGCACACAGATCGAAAGTTTCCAGACCCATAAGGCAGATATTTTGTGTCTGTGTTTAGCTGAAGATGAAAATTCTGTTTATTGTGCTGGTAAGTTTTCTCTTGATATTTTTGTGTTTGTAATTAAGGTGAGGCGTCATGCCTTACCTCCAGTGTCTTATATTTTATTGTCTCAGGGTTGCAACCCTGATACCAGCAATTCTTTAAGCTTAGAAGCTTCAGTTTTAATTATCTCCCTTATTTAATTTAGAAGTGTGGCATCACTGTGACCAGTTCTTTGTGATGCCTATGTTATCATTGTGTTATATCATTTGGTTTATTTTCACATAAATAACTCCTTTATATTGTATACAGAAATAGCACTCACTTGGAAGACCGAATCATAGATGTGTGGATAATGTTAAAGTGTCTTTAAAGAAATGGGCTCAGTGTGCAGACAGAATTGTCTGTCTCAGAACATGGTCCAGTGGTGGGTTCTTGTGCACATGGTTCCATAGAAAACAACTTAAGTATCTGAATGACTATTAGCTTCTATAGAAGAACCCTGTTCTTTGGAGTTTTTTAGTCAGTCAGCCAGTCAAAGAGATAAAAGGTAAGGTAAAGCTATCCCTGTAACAGGTCATGGAGGCCTGTAAAGTTGTGAGAGGTTGAGGTTCCCACATTTTCTATACACTTGGCTCACAGATGGTGGTGAGGTTGTCAGCCTTACCCCCTGGCCATCATTTTACCCCCAGGAAGATTCCTGGTACTCATTTCTCTTAGTGGCTGAGTCAACCCCATGGTCATAGTGTGGCCGGAAGGATTAGATCAATTGAAAAAATCCAATTTCCTTATCACCTGTGATCTTCCATCTTGTAGCATAGTGCCTCAACCAATTACACTACAGCTTGCCCCCAGTCAAAGTGATATCACTTGGTTAATTAAAGATGGGGGAAATCACAAAGTGCTTCACTCACTTTATTTCAAAGGGTTTAAAGACATTTCAGAATAAAATGAAATACAGTTAAAAGAGTCCTTTGTAATGTGAATTTATAGCACTATATGAAATTAACTATTACAGATTCAACTCCCAATATTTGTAAGATGCTCTCAGCTTTGGTTGTAAGGTATAGCTGTTACAGATGGATGTTGAGGATAAATGATTAATTTGAGGTTCCCAGGGCAAAGAACATTAAGAGCATCTACTTCTATGATGAGTGGTAGAGAGGTGCCAAGGTTTTGGATCAATCTGTCTGCTGGACTGGAACACAGTTATGTTAATTGTTTAGCTGGCAAGAGAGTTGTGGTGATGCAACAGCTGGCTACATGGAACAGAAGGGAAAGCACTGACCCACTCACTAACCTGGTCCTCCCCCCTCTTAACTTAGTTGGCATAGTTTCCACATATAAAGTTAATGTAGCCAAGTAGTACACGATTTCACATTCCAGATGGCCATATTCATGAATGCCCATTTGAACTCTTCACTTGTCCTTCTCCTTACATTCTTGGAAAGTGAAGACAATCTTGTGGCCAGACGTATGATGGAATTCTGAAGTAGAACTGGAAGGATTACATGAAAGAGATATTGAAATTGATGATGAACTCTTTGGTTTTTAAAGGAGTGGACCCATTGATCATTAGCTTTGCAAAGATTTGGCTGCGAGGTGGTGCTGGTACTGGCAGAAGCAAGTGGGTGAAGTCAGTGCAGCGTCGCATCCATGACCACGATGTCCGAGCACTTGCTTTAGCTGATGGGAAACTCCTCTCAGGAGGTTAGAATGTGTTTTGATAAATGTTTATTTTCTGTAAATGTACAAGTATGTTTTCACCAGACACTTCAGAATTTTTTTTTTAAACCTGCAGGATGTTGTGTTGTGTTCTATTTCAGTTCACATTTATTCTTTGAAACCTTCATTCTAGCTTTCTAATTTTCCCACAAATGTTGATGAAGTTTGCACTTATTTCCTTTTGTTGCTTTTTGTAGGTCTTTTTATATAGTGCAGAATTAAGGTATGATTAACCCTTCAGCACCAAAGTCCATACCCGGTATGTGTAGTGCAGTGCTAAATCTCAGCTCATATTTTGAACTGTTGTTTTTCATGTAAAGTCATTCTTTTGGTATGAAATTAAAGAGGAAATTTCAGGCTATCATTTCGTGTATACATTGTCCCTCTCAGGACTTTCCACATCAATTGTAATACATTTAAATTCTTTGAAAAAGTTGTCTACTTCAACAAGTGGTGGGCTCATTACCATACAAATCTATCACGGCTGGGCGAATTCTTATGAACTAAATATATTAGATCAATACTGTGGGCTGTCCTACATACTGATGGAATGAAAAGTTGATTCGCTTGAGACATATTCTGACCAATGCTTCTTCTAGATTGCAGTTTGTAACCTCAAGAAGACACGTAGAGAATCTATGACTTTGAGACGTGACGTTGACTCTGAGAAGTGTGTTAAGACTGCTGTGTAGCAAGCGATAAACAGTTCACTATATGACTGGTACTACTTTAATTCCCCTTTGTTCTATAAATATGCATCATGCAGTATGGTTTCAGCTGCCAAGGCCAGCCTCCAGAGCAGTGAAGTGGCCAGCTGTGTTGTGTCATGATAGTGGAGGATATATTTATTTCAAACTGAATCAAAACAAAGGTTTATCAGATTTTGAATTTGACATTGAAAATGGATATTTGTGCTTTTCTCTATTCTGTGGTAAATGACAGAATCGAGAAAAGCATGAACATCCACTGGGAGAATATGCAAAACTATAAGGGACAAATAGAAAATTTCTGAATGTGATGATAATATGTAGGAATAACACAAGGAAAAGAATAGCTCAATTGTCAATCAGAATTCAGTTAATTGAGGGACTCTCTGTGAAATATGCTAGTGCTGTAGAACACAAAGTGCCGGGTCGACATTTGTCAGACAAACATTTCCCTGTCTAAGAGAAAGAAATTTTATAAGCATGATTCAACCAACTGCGAAGAAATCAAGACCACAGGAATGGCGTGTTGTGTCAAAGACTGTGTACTTGTGTGATGCATGTGATGTGGGACTCTGTGTGGAATGTGTTCATGACTGACACACCCAGCTGAATTTCTAAGATAATATGATACTATTATTCCTAATTTTTATAGGCTTACTGTGCCAAAAATAATTTTAAAGCAATGTTGATCAACACACTGATTCTGTATACGTTTCTAAATGTAGTGTGAAAATTAGAAAAACAAAACTCCATTTTTTCACAGTTTATTATACTTTAAGTGAAATGTTGCATTTACTGCTTTAAATGTTTAATTATCCTCCATCCCAAGGAGTCAGTAGGAATTAAATGTCCTCCGTTGTTGAAGGGTTAATCAGTAATGAACTGGAAAAGATGATGGAGGCAGTAGTTTTAGCTTAATTAACAGTGAAAGACCTCAGTCAAGATACACATTCTGTGGGCTGAGATTTCAACCCAGAACCTCTGAGTACAAAGCAGAAGTGCCAACGTTCAGTCTTGTTGAAGTTCCTTACAAGGTATCAGTCATTAAATTTCATCATAGATCACTTAAGTCTTGGGTTTTCTGTCTAGGACAAGAATTGAAATCTTGTTATTTATGTTAATTGGTGTCAGTACTTTCACAGTCATTGTAACTATTGTACCCAAAACTTTCTTTCTGATGAAGAGGTACAACTATCCCTGTAACAGGCTGTCAAGGCCCATAAGGTTGTGAGACGGCAAGGCTCCCACATTTTCTAGACATTCAGCTCACAGATGGCAATAAGGTTGTCAGCCTTAACGCACTGGTCTTCCTTTACCTGGAGGAAGATTCCTGGTACTCATTTCTGTTAGAGGCTGAGTCTACCCCAGGGCAATAGTATGGCTGAAGGGATTAGGTAAATTGAAAAATCTAGTAACATTGAGAATAAAACCCATGACATTCTGGCTTGTAGTATAATTCTTCAATAGGATACACATAATTTGTTCTGAATCTAAAACACTGGGTAAGAAACAAAAGTAGCATTTTTCTCATCTTTAGGCACGTTTGAAAGTCCTGTCAGTTTTTATGTAGACTGGACATGTTTAGTGATGACTGTGTGTGTGAGAGATGCACGTGTGTTTCTCTGTGTATCCTGTGAAGTATTTGTTTGAGAAAGATATATTTTGAAACAAGGTTGTAGAGAAAACTGAAGTGTGGATTTTATGTCCCGTATGCTTTTTCTGTAAGTCTTAAGAGTTTTCAAGATAATTAAATAAGAGTCATATTATGGGAACATCTTTGAGCTTCCATATGCAGCAGTCAGTCATGGCCTCCAGGGCAGAAACAGTACAGTCTTTTGTGTTTAGATTGTGTTAAAATGGGGGGTGTTTTGTTCTTTTAATGTAAGTCTGCATGACAGTATGAGTCTGAAGCATATATTAAACAATTTATGTATTGCTATAATACTGTATTGTAGCATCTTGCTGCACATCACATATTTATTCTTTGTTAGTTATCAGCTGTCCCACATGCAACTAGCTTTTTAAAACCTTTGAAAGCTTTAAACTTTAAAATTAAAAAAAAAAAGGTTTTAAATAGCAAGTTGTGTGTAAGATGGCTAATAACCAATAAGGAATATTTTATATATATTTAGTTTTTGTTTAGTATGTGTAATGTCAGCATACACTGAAACTTTGATATTGAATGTTTATTCATTTAATAACTACTGTTTTGACTACGCCCCTATGATTCATTTAAGAGGGAAGTATTGTACAATATTCTGATAGAGTTTGGGATGCCCATGAAACTAGTTAAGCTGATTAAAATGTGTTTAAATGAAACTTATAGTAAAGTCTGTATAGGTAAACATTTGTCTGATAAATTTCCTATCCAGAATGGTCTAAGACAAGGAGATGCTCTGTTGCCACTCCTTTTCAACTTTGCTTTAGAATATGCCATTAGGAAGGTCCAGGAAAAACAGGTGGGACTGAAATGAAACGGGACACATCAGCTGTTGGTCTATGTCAATGATGTGAATCTACTGGATGATAATATAGATACCATAAAGAAAAACACACAAACTTTAATTGATGTAAGTAAGGAGGTTGATCTAGAAGTAAACACAGAGAAAACTAAGTATATGTTGCTGTCTTTTCATCAAAATGCAGGACAAAATCATGACATAGCGATAGGAAACAGATGTTTTGAAAATGTGGCACAGTTCAGATATTTGGGAATGACAATAACAAATCTAAACCTGATTGAGGAGGAAATTAAAAGGAGATTGAATTCGGGTAATGCTTACTAACATTCAGTCCAGGACCTTTTGTCTTCTCATCTGCTGTCCAAAAACATGAAAATGAGAATATACAAAACTATAATTTTGCCTGTGGTTCTGTATGGGTGTGAAACTTGGTCTCTGATATTAAGGGAGGAACATAGACTGAGGGTGTTTGATAACAGGGTGTTGAGGAGAATATTTGGACCGAAGAGAGATGAAGTGACAGGAGGTCGGAGAAAACTGCACAATGAGGAGCTTCATAACTTGTACTCTTCTCCACGTATTATTAGGGTAATCAAGTCAAGGAGGATGAGATGGGCAGGACATGTAGCATGAATGGGTGAGAAGGGGAATGCATATAGGATATTGGTGGGAAAGCCAGAAGAAAAAAGACCACTGGGAAGACCAAGGCATAGGTGCGTGGACAATATTAAAATGGATCTTAGAGAGATAGAACGGGATGGTGTGGATTGGATTGATCTGGCTCAGGATAGGGACCAGTGGAGGTCTCTTGTGAACACAGTAATGAACCTTCGGGTTCCATAAAATGCTGGGAAATTCTTGAGTATCTGCAGATTTTGCTTCTTCTCAAGAAGTGCTCAACACCATAAGTAATTAAGTAAGTTTTGACTACTCACCTCCAAGTAGTATCAAGGTCAAGAAGATGTAGATCTATACATTCACTCCCCCATATGCCTTCATGGCATAGTGTTTACTTAGTTAAGCACAGGGACAACTTTTACCTGTATAGTTTTGACTTCTTATCAATTTTAGTATCATCACATAATAGCGAACGTTTGCATGTTCATTTTAAGTTTGTTTCTTATAAGTGCAGCATTCATTGTAGTCTTTTAAATTCTTACATTTATAATTCCTTCTGCCAAAAATTATTTTTAATGTCTATTGTATAGTTTTACAGTCTTGTTTATTATGATTTAATTACTGCCTACTGGATTCCTGTGGACCATTAATGTTTACATGGTTTGGGGTCATAATATGATGACAGCTGCTAGTGGCCAAGTGAATACAGAACTTTAGTCATGATCAGTATAAATCAGTTGCAGTGAAAAAATTCCACTGGAGAGCAGATAGTTTGAACTATAAACTGAAAAACTTTGAGCTCAGAATATCTGTCACTGACAGAGTTGGAATTATATCATAAAATTTAAGTGTGAATGTAGGAAAATCTTAAGTTGACCAGGTGGTATGTGGATTTGCGATGTACCTTTTTTCGTTCCATGACTGCTGACAGAGTTGTGACATACCAGGTCTCCAGCACAGGGAGTATGTGCCATCTGTTACCTTTCTCTGCACTGTTTGTCTAATCAGTATGGAGAGAAAAGAGAAGCTTCCCTGTGGGTGTCTCTCAGTGCGCAAGAACTCCAACAAGTAACAATGGGTGTAACTGCTTTACTAGTTTTCATTTTTTATTGCTTCTGATATAGCATTTCTTAAGTTTGAATGTGAAATGTCAGTAATTTTATAACCAAACATCATCTTTGGTTAGGAATTTTATGTGATACTTGGTTTGTTTATTTTCCTTTTTGTGTTGAGTTTTATCTTAGCTTGTTACATTCTTTGACATCTCTTCTATTAAATCATGTATAGGAACAACAGATTTATATTTTTCCATACAAAAGTTCTTTTCCTTTCCAATTTTCACAGGAATTATTTATGACTGGTTGGAGTTGGTTTTGAAATGTAAAGGATGGATAAGAGGTAAATCATGTTTCTTCATGGTTTTTTTTTTTTTTTAAGCCTGTGCTTACAAGTGTCTTTGTTATTGTAGGTGTAGACAGTTACCTGGCAATAAGCAGTTACCCTCCACGTCAACTTGTGAAATATCCACCTCTTCTTCAGGTATGCTCAGCATTATCAAGTTGTGTACAATCATATATCAGTAATGGTCATCTTAAATTGTGTATAAAGAAAGCATCACAACTTGTATACTAAGCTTCCTCTGTTCCGTTTAATTTCGTGGGAAGTATATATACACTGGAGTAGATGCAAGCTGTGTGTGTTACAGAGAATTGGAACACAAAGGCATGGAGGAAAGACTCCCATGATTGTACTTGGAGATGCAAATTTAATGTACATCGTACCCATTAGTCTTGTGAAGTGGAGAAAAATGGTGGATTTAGTGGTTTTTATAATCAGTTGTAAGTATTTTTTATCAGTAGTTTATGAATTGACACTGCTGGTATCTCAAACTGTGTAGTGTCAGATGTTGGGAAAGAATGTGATAGGAAGCACTCATAGCTTAACCTTTCTGAGCCGAAAGACACCATATGGGGACCTTTAAAGTAAAGCCGAGTGGCCGAAAGACACCGTATGGGTATACGAAGTCCACGCGTGCGCACAGTGTTTTAAAATCTAATTTTAAGATAGAAATTCTTGTTCTACTTACATTATTTTTGGACACCAGCTTTATAAGTAGACTGTCTTCCCTCCTGCATCATCTAACTGAATGTTGCATGTCACTGAATGCAGGGTCCGACGTCGCGATTCATGCACTTTGTCCGTAATTAACTCTGTTTTCCACGTGAAGCGCGCACACAATGTTAGTCTCGTATTAGCAGGAAGTAAGCCAGTGATGGCGAGTGGTGGTCTCTATTCATAACGCTTATAAAACATCGCAATTTCAGCTATGCACCATGGCCCCTTTTCGCATTGAAGATGTCAAAATTGAGAGTCGTTGATTGCTTTCCATACAATACATACAATTCTCTGTATCGCTGATTGCTTTCCATACAATACGTACAATTCTCCGTATGATGAGGCCCCAACTATTCCATTAATTAATTCACATCATTGGACCTCTTACACAATTTTATAAGAAACTCGAATTTACTATTCGTCGACAGAAATGTATGAAAAGTATAATCAACGACCGATTCAGTGTTATTAAACAGCAATCAATTTTAATTTTTTTATATATGACTTGTTATTGTTTTAAATAACCCACGTATTGTATTCTTGTGCAAATTATCTTAAATGATTTATAACATTGTATCACATTTTACGTACTGCAGTTCAGTGGTGTACGTTTGTTGAAGTGTGTTTGCCTGATGATGGCCACTCGTGGCTGAAACATGTAGCAGAACTATAACTGAGCATTGTCCTTGAAGTTCTATTATTTGCTGTGTTGTGACGG